TCCAGCTGAACCTGAGGAAGAACTTCTTCCCTCTGAGGGTGACGGAGCCCTGGCCCAGGCTGCCCAGGGAGGCTGTGGAGTCTCCTTCTCTGGAGATATTCCAGCCCCGCCTGGACAAGGTCCTGTGCAGCCTGCGCTGGGTGGCCCTGCTTGTGCAGGGGGCTGGGCTGGGGAATCCCTAGAGGGCCATGCTGGGATTCTGATCTGGTCCCTCCCGCTTTGCTGTGTTTGAACAAACTTCCTTTAGCTTTACAACTGTAGAGCACCTTCTCAGACTGAAAACCAGACATTTAGGAACAAGTTAGTTTGTATTTATTCACTCAAAACTCCTCATATCTTGCCATTTCTGCAGTATAAAAGAAATAAAAATGTTGACTTACAAATCAAGTTATAACAAACAGAACCACAAGTGGACAGCTACAATATAAAAATATGCAGTATTTCCAGACACTGCCTACAACTGAACATCAGGATCTTAAATATTCTTCCCCTAAAATTCCAAGTAGCAAACAGATACGGTTCGTGTCATGCAGCCAAGAATTATCCTAGAAGTCAGTCCAGTCCTTCTGTAGAAATGTGGGAGCCTTCTGATACACAGATCACAGCCCACAAGACCTGGAAGAAGTGCTAGAAAGGACCTTCTTGGCTACACAGCTCGTAAAGGTGATGACAAGGTACCATACAAGGAAAATAATTTTCCTGCACGTCCTGGAGCAAGTAGGCAAAAGAGACTGAGTTCAACAGCAGGAAGACTACAACACAATGCTTCCCCGCCGAGTACTGACATCTAAGAGGAAGAACATATTCTAATGTATTTAGGCTTTAGATTAAATACATTTTAATGTATTTAAAGATGTAACCAATATTCAGGGCATTCTTTACTAATTTTATGTGGTTGTTTCAAAACTCACAAGATCAAGAGGGTCTCAGACAATTCCGTAACAGTACATTCTCTCCTGTAAGCTCTAAACAATGTAGTTACACATTTATTTGGGGGCAGGGGGAATTGGAACTTAATTCTTACACACCATGCCAAATCCTCTCATCATTTATGGAAAGCCACAAAAATAAAAGTTGAATGTTCTTTCACACTAACAAATACACATTCAAACTCCTCCCCCAAAACAGGAAGCTTCTCACACACTGACAGTTTTCTCCAATGATTTGCACCCTTGAAGTCTTCAGAGACAATCCAAAGAAAGCACTACCCATCTTGCTGCTGGATGAAAGGGTTTGGAATAGCTTCCATTCCGTCCTGCGGACAAATAAGAACCACAGAAGTCCCTCTGCAGACCACAAGTCCCAGCTGACGTGTGTCTTCTGTTAATTTGTATTGATCATCTGGATCTGAAAAGCAGAAATCCAGTTACAGCGGCAACATAAGGAAAAGAAACCAAATTCCATCAACTTCAAAAGGCACAGACATACGGGTTTTTTCCAGGCGTCTCTGCATTGTTTTATTGAACATATGGACTGTGAAAGTGATGCAGCAGTAATACCCGATGTCTTCAAAACATTACTGATATACTAATTTTCAAAGCAGCACATGCCACAGTGAGCAATAAGAACTGTACTTTGTATGCAAAGCAGAACGCATATCTTAAAGAATCCACAAGTCCTTTTATTCATCGAACTAAAACCATACACACAAGTGATTAAAAAAGCTCCCGATCCCATTTCAAATGCCATTATAGACAAATGTTTTGGGATCAATGCAAAACAGAAAGAGATCCTGACTTCAGAATTCACCAAGTACAGAACACACGGGTCCATCCCCAGACCAAGCCAAACAAGGTTTGGGGACAGACAGGCAAACTCTTCACACAGCAACAGCCAATTCTACCCTCCTTGAGATGTAAATATATTCAATAAGAATGTACTACACCCATCTTTTAAAGCTCCATTCTAAGCGCAAAATTAAAGCTTCAGGTGCTTCCTTGCAAGCAGGCAAGAGAATGCTCTTCAAAAACACTGTCCTATCATATGATAAATCTTGTTTCAGAGAGGAGAAAGGGGAGTGTTTATCCTTGGATGGGAAAAAGAAACAAATAAGAAAAAAAATCTTACAGCTCTGTAAGCTCTAACGTGCTGTAAAAGGTGTTAATTCCACAGAAATGCAAAGACTGCATTTACAGTAGAGTTTAAGACAGTAAGATACTAGTTCTCACTGAGATGTTTTTCCTGCTTTGAGCAAACCAGCAACCCTGCAGCAGTACAGACAAAGGCAACTGCCTCATCTGAAGGGAGACACACTGCTTCATTCAAGCTGTAGAGGACAAGAGCGCTAAATGAATCATCAAATGGTTTGGGTTGGAAGGGACCTTAAAGATCATCCCATTACCACCCCCCTGCCATGGGCAGGGCCCCCTTCCACCAGCCCAGGGCGCTCCCAGCCCCGTCCAACCTGGCCTTGAGCACTGCCAGGGAGGGGGCAGCCACAGCTCCTCTGGGCCGCCTCGGCCC